CTGGGGGATTCAATATTTGCTAAATTAATATTATGTATAAAGGACACTAAATAAAAAGTTATACCAGAGTCATATTAATAACAGACCATGGAGGGAAAAAAGAGGACAGGATTTAAACGAAAGACAAAAACATATGAATAGTTTAATGTTGTGACATTGTGTTGTCATGTTTGGGAAAATTGCATAAAATTGTGCATCATTATCTCCAACTGGCTCAAGTGAGTGATCAAATTCAATCATAATAATAATTCAGGTCTAATGGTCCATCCTGAGTTTCTGTTACAATTGCATAATAAAACTCATGGAGAGCACTTCCTTCTCTCACAGTCAAAAGAATGAAGCTTTCAGTGATTTCCAGTGCAGATGAATCAGCCTCAGGGCCAGTAGTGCTAGTTACATTTTGAATATAAATATACATTTGACATCAACACTCTCTACTTATATCTCTCGGGTGCCACAGACTCACATTATGTCTGCCTACAACAAAACCTCAGCATCATAAGCTAGCCCAGCTATCACACAGACAGTGTTTGCCTTCAGATGTTGGGAGACAAGAAACTTCCTGAGGTAATTTTTCATGGAGACAATAGCCCCAAACTGTGTGGAAGTTAAAAACCAACAACAAAGAGCAAAGAGAAATATAAAGAGACTAAAGTACAAATAAAGATGTTCTGCTATGTTGATATTTTTATTTATTGCTCGTGTGGTGAATTAATGCAAATAATCATTTTGCTTTCAGTTGCTGTTTTTCACAGGTTGTGTGGAGTTTTGTTTTCACCATTAAAGAAGCCAGTGCAGTTTCAGTCTACATCTATTCTTTGACAATAATAATAACAATACTAACAATAAGGATAATAATATGTGTTTGTTAACTTTGGAATGTGGTGTATTTCTGGTCAAATGTATCATGGTACTGATAAAATTCTCTGAAGGTGTTGCTGGGATGTTCACAAAACCTTGACCTCTAACCTCAATAATCTGATCGATTCATCTGTGAATCCAAGTTAACATTTGAAGAAATGTCCTCAGGTCATTTCTGACACATTGTGTTCACAACAGCACGGACAGACAACCTAGAAACGAACTTCCCTTCGGCCACTTGCTGTCACCTGCATGGAGGCAGAGAATCATATTAGACAAATATTGTCAGTGTATTCCAGTCAGCACTGACGTGGCTGTATCATTCTGTTTGTGCTGAATGCGTGAAATAAAACTTTTTGGGGGGTTAAAAGTCGATTGGTCAGTCATCCCCGCCACAGTTCAACATTTTTGCTGGCTAAACCTTTTTTTTTCTTTCTTCCGAGTAACCTAGATATGTCTCCGCGCTCTGTGAACGGCTGTATCACCAAGTGGAATGAGACCCAGTGCTGGCAGCTACTCATTATTACTGTGACAGCAGAGCAGATGAGGCAAACACACACACACATAAACACTCATACAGACCACACACACCACACGGACACGCAAAATCAGATTTTTTTTCACGTCGTCAGAATAGCCGACAGCTTGACTTCTACTATCATACAGATCAAATGTAATATCTGTCCTGTGAATGTTTTAATGCCTCTGGTGGAACTAGGAGACAGACATAGTTTATAATGGCACCGTGCCTGGTTTTGATATGTAATATATTCATCTAAACTATTCTACATTCCAGTCATCACTCTCTGACTTCATGGCAGAGACCCTTATCCATGCCATCATGAAACAAGCAGCACATCTTTACCTGCTTCCAGTCAAGTCCCACATCACAATCCTCCTCCTCACACCCTGCTGCTAGGATCCATCCCAGAACCTACAGTCCTCAGATTTAGGTTTGCTCACTATCCCCCAGAAAACCCACAGTGAGATTCGCAACGACCCATCTCTCGACTCTTTTGACATAGTTCTAGCATTTCTGATTATGTTTTGTTTGATTTATTATTTTTTCCACCTCTATAAAGCCACCTTCAACTGCTCTGCATAAACCCAAGTTGTTATTATTATTGTGTTCTTCATGCACAAGATAGCTGTGAGTGCAAAGAGTTGAAAGGTAATTGAATAGTTTTGTTGAACTCAAAGACATGTTGATAGATTGCGTGAAATAAAGATGAGTCATCTAATGAAAGTCAGCGCACAAAGACGTAAAACAGGGTTGTATAGAAAACTTTTTTCTTATATCACTAGGCCTTCAAATAATCAACTCAAGTCATGTCTTAGAGCCATAATCTGTCACTTTTTTATTGGAACACATGATAAATAATCTGCCTTATCAAGATGCCTTTTATATTGCAACTTTTATTTTTTTAGCTAAAACATTAAAAAACAACACTGAAAACATGGCCTGTTGACAAGACAATGGATTGTGAAATATCCTGCTCATGGTGTTGTGATTGAAAAAAAAATAGCTTCACTTTTATCCCGGTGTTGATAAATGATGAAAGATGGAAAGATGCACCAAAGCTAAATTTAAAAATGTCAACCTGATGCATTTGTTGATGGCAAAAACAACAGTGAGTGTATTGTTGTTCTGTGGATGAACTGCATCAGAACATCAGAGGAGCATCTGTTGCTTATTTGGCATCAGTCCTTTCGTCCCATACAAAAGTACAACTTGCTTTTTTTACTCTTTCCATCTTAAAACATAATTCACATTAATTTTACCCAAGTTGACCTCAGACTATTTCAATGAATTTTTCATGTTCTTATTTCATGCATGAGACCGTCCAAATTAGCAGAGTCCACAGAGTCCAGCGCCTGCTCTCTGCTGGTTGAAAGCATCTTGACTCCTCCTGTGAATCCTGAATTAAATAAAAAATAATAAAATAAAACAAGGTGCTGTGATGGTGGATAAATGTGCAATTCTACTTTGAGGTCGGATGCTCTCCACATCACAAGGCTGTGGTCTGAGTGATTTTTCTGTGATGGCTATTTTAGTGACATTTGACATGGATTAGCAGGGAAACCGCAGAGCTTGGCTCCTCCAGCTTCGCTGAAAGTCCAAGAAATAATAAACAGATCGAGTTTAATCAAGATTAAAGTTAAGTGTGCGACAGGCCATTTTAACAGAAGAATTAATATCAGCCGGAGCAAAAGTGCATACAAGCTGATACACACAACGTAATAAAATAAGGATAAGTATGTGATCCATGCTTTCTGAAAAACATTAAGAGCTCAGCTTTGCACCACAGTCAATGAAGTCCATAATTATTGAGCCATCGTATGCAATATTAATAGAGGAAAGCTAAATATCATTCAGCTGTTCCTACGTCTTCCTTCTAATTCTCCGTGTAGTGAGGTTGCGAACTTGTAATTTTCTCGAGATCTTTTTTTCATTGATTTCTATTTTGCTGTGTACGACAGTTGACCCAGCGATCACTGAAGTATGCGTCAAGTTTGTTCCACTCGCAAGGTTTTTATTGTTTGCATTTGCAAGTTTGCCTTCAGGTAACAAAAGAGCAGATTTTTGACAACATGCATGAACCAGAATCAGAATTTTGGAAAACAAAGTTACGTAAGCAGAGCATGATCTCACTCGCATTGTGCTGATTTACAACACAGACTAAAATATTCTAAGTTAATTTAGAAATTAACAAAAATTAATGAACTCGAGCACAAGGTTTAAAACTTGGGATTCTTTCTGATTCACAGTCGAGTAAATGATCTATAATACTGTACGATCTCGACCTTACTAATGTGAAGCGCTTTGAGATGTATGTTGTGATCAATCAAAACCTAATGGGCCGTTCATGTTTTTAAGTCTTGGGGGGGTTGGGTGGAGCATGAGCTCGAGCAAAAGTCTCTTGTACTTTCACTGAGACAAAACACAAACCAGAAGCACCGGTGGACCATTT